TATGATATATATGATTTTGTTAATAGTTTCATAGTGTTTCATACTGTAACAAGCTTCTGGCTAAAATTATAATACCCTGCTAGGGTTTAAAAATATATTTTTAATGTAAAATCAAGTAAAATTTGTAAGTTAAAGACTTACTGATTGTATTTTCATGTTTTATAATTTATTGCTTAATTAAAAAGACAAAAAGACGGCTAAGACGTCTATTTCCATGAATATGACTGTATATCGTTTAAGTAATTTACAAATTTAAACAAAGGGGACAGTAGAGAGCTTAACAAACTAAGTTTACTTAATGAAATCATCATTAAGACTATTATTTTGAGTAGTATTTTCTTTCTTGCACCCTAACAATAGCTTTCTTGTCATCCATGGACTCGCTCCCAAAAAGTATGCTACAAAGCGAGCGAGAGCCCGAGTCCTCCAAGCAGTTGACTTTTCGCCCCCATCCAAATGCCTATAAATACATGCCCCTCGAAAGCACACACACACGCACAGACACACTCTTGTGTATTTAGCCTGCTGTTGCACATAGAGTGACTGGAGGAGGCATGCTCTGCACTTATGACGATGTGGAAAGTAAACATAGAAATAACAATAATAATAAAAACAACATGGACGCTCTCCCAGCTGATGATGGCTGACTCTCACGCGCACCGCTCTCTCTTGGGCACTTTCTCTCTGTGTGTGTGTGTGTGTGTGCTGCCTCTCTGTGAGCACCGCTGCACTCTTTAATGTCTCTGTGTGTGTGTGGGTCGCTCTTGCAACCGAAAATCAATAAAATCTGGGCCACCAGTTTTAAAGGTTGATTAAAACGGTATGACGCGAATTCGTGAGCACGTTCCACGTTGTCTGTGTGTGTGTGTATGAGGATGTTTGTGTGTGTGTGTGCAAAAATATAAATAAACATTTGTAAGCCGAACTCCGGTCTGTGCTCTCTTCAATCCCCGTTCCAGCCTCCGCTCTCGCTTAAAGACGAATTTTGGCTGCGTCTTATGTACCCGACATAAAAGTGAAAATAGAGCTTTTCAAGTTCACTTGGCCAGCGCACACGCTCACCATCTGATGAAGTATATATATATATATATATATATATATTTGTGTGAATAAATCTATATATACATAAGTATTAGCTGCCCCTGCATTTATATGCTGCACAGTTTTTTTTTATTTTTTTCTTCCATTTTTCCAATGATCTTGGCTTGCCGGCTCAAAATGCAACGCAAATCTAATGTCAAGGCCAGTGGAAAACTATAGGTTAAAAGTCAAATGGTATATAATTACACATATCCTTAATAGGAAATAGTTTCAATAGAAATTGTTGTGTTCTTTTTAAAAGATTATTCAAGGAATTAGTTTATATAAAAGTGTATTTTCTGCGGGTTGCAATATAAACATTATCGAATAACGCTATGTGTTATTAGGTTTAATCCAGCTTAAAGTAGTTTCATGAGTATTAACTAGATTTAAAAGAAATTAAACTGATAGTAAACAGAAGTGAGAACAACTAATGTGTTTTTAAACTAGAATTAACTAGACTTGAAGCATTATTTGCTTAGCTGTGAACGTAATAGTGAAAACAAGCACTATACTTGACTTAATTACTTAATGTTGATTGTGCTCTAAGTACCTTTTAGGTATGAGGGTTTTCGAGATATAGATACATTTATCTAAGATGATTTAAGATCTAAGATGTATATGCATTTATCTACGATAATCTATGATCTAAGAAAATTTAGATGCATTTATCGAATTCATCTTTGAATTGACCTAAAAAGTGGCTGTTGTTTAGTGTTGTTTTAGCTTTGTATAAGCTTAAACATTAAGGCTTGTTAAAAGTTTCAAAACCTGCTGCCCAGGTATCAAACCAATTAGACAAAAATTAGAGAAATTTTTTAATATATAGTTGAACTTAATTTTTAACCGAATACAGATTCCAAAATTGGTTTAAGCTAATCATTTTTTTTTATCTATTTATTCAAAGCTACTTAAGCCATAAAAATTTTACTCATTAATTTAGATAGTTCTTCTTTTATCAAGTCACTTTGATTGATTTCTTACTCACACAAATGCAATTCAAACAAGTCAACGTTTTGCCACAATTTTCTTAAAGCCATCACTCATACGCAGTGTTGTCTCTACTCAAATATTTGCAGATTTTTTCCATTTCCATTCTTCTGAATTTAATATATTTTTAAATAAATTGTTTAAATAAAGAACATCTATATAAGGAAAGCATGAAAGTAATATATTATCATATATAAAAGTAATATATTTTCACATCACTCCCTTTAATTCTATCACTCATACGCAGTGTTTTCTCTACTCAAATATTTGCGGATTTTTTCCATTTTTTCTTCTGTATATAAAATAATTGTAAGAAAACATCAGGATTAAAAACATCTATATAGAGAAAGCAAGAAAGTAGAATATATATCCGGCATTATGAAATTTTTACTACGTATGAGTGATTTTTGCAGAACCTTTAAAAGTACAAATTTGACAATTAATCCCACTGTATACAGGGATAAAGCAATTTAAATTGAACCAACTGCGTGACTTCAACCTAGTCGTGAGTCGTGAGTCGTGAGCCGTCGCTCGTTGTATATAAACATAGATATATACATACATATACATATATGCATGTAGACTCCTGTGGAAACCCAGCAAAGACTTCGCCAGCCTTTCAGTGTGTGGCCTTCAATCGGCTTACAAACGGCGAAAAGGTTACGTGCGTATGTATGTATGTGTGTAGGGAGAGGGGGAGGTGAATACATACAATCATACATGACCCCGCTGCACTCACACAGCTGCAGCATGCAGCATAAATGAGAGTGCGAGTGGGTGCACGCAGAGGCCTCGGGGTCGTTTATATGTCATTGCGCACATGCCAAGCGGCGCAGGCCAAAGAGCCTGAGCCTGTCTCTCTCTCTCTCTCTCTTTCTCCGTTATCTCTTGTTTATTTTTACTCGCACTGCTAGGCTGAATGAGAGGGGGGATAGCAGGGGGGATACTTGGAGCTTTCACTTGCTCACACTCTCACTGGCCTTCGTCGTTCGGTTCTTATCCGTTCGGCTATGCTCCAGTTACGCACCCGAATGCATTTCGTCTGAGTTGGCTCTCTCTCTCTCTCTCTCTTGGCAGCCAGGGCTTTCTTTCTCTTTGTTGGCACGGTTAACGGTTAACCTACATTCCATTATGGTGGCGGGGGTGCAGGAGACTGAGGGGGAAGGGATAAGGGGAGGGGAAAGCTGGCTTGCAGCTCAATGACGTAGGCGGAGTGCATGCACATATACAGCTATGTACGCAATAACAGTGCTAATCTCTAACTTCAAGGTTTATTCTTTCGCCTAATTAAGGTAGTTGGAGTTGAAAGCCAAGAAATTTCTAATATTTACATTTTACCTTGATTAAACTGTATATATTGGATTTTAATTTAAATAAAAAATGGTAAGCAATTATTGTATTTACCTCAGCTGTGTTTGAATGCGCTTTAATTGGCTGCAAAAATGTGGTCCAAAGAGCTCTTAAGCATCATGAGCACACCCTTCAATGTTCACTTATGAAAAATCCTCCACTTAAAAGGATATATTTGGAACCATTTTAAAGCACTATGTTTCAATTAAATTTAAAAAATAAACTCTTATCAAAAAATTACGTTGAGGGGAAAGAGTTAATAATATAACATAACATTTTTTAGGATAATTTTATGAGACTTTACATGTGTATTAAGATACTTTTGTATTTACAAAAAAGTAGCTAAACAATTTGTAAAAAACTTCAATTGTAGGGAATTTAAAGATGCCACATGATTCATTTGTCTGTAATTAATTTATTTATAAAATACTTTAATTAAACCTATCTAAAGGCTAAAGAAAATGTTAACAAATGAAGGCTAGTAACATGTTGCGCAACATACAAATTAGGGTAAATGTAGCTAGGAACATGTTGAGCAACACACCCTTTGATGCAGATGTTGCAGAAGGTTCAACATGCACATAAACTTTACTGTCTAATAACTTACATGTTTATTAACCGATTATGTTTAAGTTTGTTTTGAGTACCCCCGCACAGGTCTTATTTTTCGATATAGAACAAATCAAATCCCTCAAATCATTAATTTCTCTCGATTTCTCGACTCAGCAGGGTTCTGTCTATCGTTGCTTAAAGACTGCGAAAGATTTAAAGCTAAAATTCATTGGAATATAACTCAATTATCGTTTTCAATGATGTTTGGGGTCGAAAGTGAATGCTGTCACATTTCAAAATAAAATTTAATTGAGTATTGTCACCATATTTTAATAACTCTTATAATCTTATAATTTCTGAGCTGTCTTGTTTGTATGTTTAATAAGGGAAAACCCTATTAATACCAAAAAGTTATTGAAATTTAAGCCTAGTTTAAAAAAAAGTATTCTATTTATTTTTCAGGTGCCGATACACAATTCATAAACATAATTCAATCAGCTGTCGAAAACGAAATAAATGGTTCTAACCAAACGCTCGCGGATTGCCAAAACCAAAGAGAAACGAAAGATATAATATAACAGCCAGGAGAGAAATCAAACTAATTATAGCAACTAGAGAACGTTTTTAGGTAATGCCCATTGCCGATAATAATTTAGTAGTCAGCCGGTGAAACTAAAACATATATTAACTCGGATATGCTCTGTAAATACAACACATTAAACATATTTAGGATCTAGATAACTACGCTTTAAACGACATCTGAATCGAGCCGAAGGTATCTAGCACACATCCCAACATTCAAAGTTCAAACAAACACGATTGTAATTCTAGTCGAGAAATAGTCACCAAACAGATATTGTACACACCGCGAAACACTATTATAAAAGTAATAAGCCCTCCCCACCAAAATATAAGTAAATAGCCAACCAACCTAGGAGATAGATCATCCCCAAAAGGCAAGCAGCATAGATAACTTAAAATAGTTAATAATAATAATAATTGATAATTAAAAATACGCTCAATTAAAGCCAGAAATCAGTATTCCAAAAATTTTCTACCAATGTGCGGATGATCCACAGGAATATAGAAACCGCCAATCATTGGGGCAACCGCTTGAGAGAAGCACCACCAAGCGCCATTTAGGGGTAGCACCCCCCAGAGCTGCGCCTGGAGACGTAGCCCCGGTATCCGCGGCCGGAGTCCCCTGATCGAACCGCCCAGCAGAGGTCAGTGCAACGTGGACCAGTGCAACGACGGTGCCAAGATGCATATTGAAATTCAGGTGGCTCTGAACTTCGTCATATCCTATCTCTACAATAAGCTGCCACGCAGACGTGTTAATATATTTGGCGAGGAGCTGGAGAAGGCGTTGCGTGACAAGTTCCAGGGACACTGGTATCCAGAGATGCCCTTTAAGGTGTGTTCCATGCTCCTTAATCGCTCAAATTGATCAAATTATTATTTTCTAATTTCTATTGATTTGAACTTTTGCAGGGCTCTGCTTATCGTTGCCTAAAGACCGGTGATCCTATCGATTCGGTGCTGGAGAAAGCTGCCCAAGAGAGTGGAGTGCCCATCACTGACATCCTTGAGAACTTGCCCAGTGAGCTGTCGGTTTGGGTGGATCCTGGGAGGTTTCATTTCGCATTGGTGAAAAAGGATCTGTTAAGGTAGGCTACATATTACAGAAAGTGATGAATAGGTTGCAAGTAGCTCCTGAAAAACATAGGTACCTTTAAGTTTAGGCAATTAAAAGTATATTGTAGTAATAAGTTATTTTTCATCCTCTATAGTATTTATACAGGGCATTGCAGGGTATTCTAATTTTAATCGAAGCTTGTTACGCTGGGAAAAAGTCGTTTCCGACCCTTTAAGTCATATATATTCTTTATCAGCATCAATTGCCGAATCGATTTAGATAGCTCTGACTAAACAATTTTTTTTCAAATATTTTAAAGATTTTATAGTTATGCTTCTTTTAAGCTTTGATTTGTCGATAAAAAATTTCATTTTAAAATATTGATAAAGATCGATTCAAGAAATACTATTATTTTAAGTTCCGATACGATCCTATAACTAAATGACAAACTGCAAGGATTTATAAACTTCGGCTTTCCGAAGTTAATTTCCTTTCTTGGTTAGAATTAAAATCAGTTTAGGAACTCTGCTCTGCTTTTTCACATTAAGTAATAACGATTTATGTTCAATGAGAAATTTCTTTTGGAAAATACTAAATTGTTCATTTTAAGATAGTAAAATGCGTCGTGTTTCTTAGGTTATTTATCCTGTTTTATGAAATCCTGCTCGTACCGAAGCCCTCTTTGTCTGCAGATGATGTTCCAATATTTTCTAATTATGATCTAGTACTGAAAACGATCCATACTATCCACGATGAAGACTAAATTTCCTATTCCGATGACTAACTGCTCCACTTACCATGAAACTCAAACCACCTCGCTTTATCATCGGAATAAGATGCTTGAGATCCCTGGAAATACTAGATTTCATTCAAGCTTTTGCTTTTCATTGTAACTAGAAACAAGATTTAATTACGAATGATTCCAAATATAATGTATTTAGAATACAAGGAGTCGTATATACGGGGAGTTTTTTATAGGGCGGCTTTACAGGGAGTCTATATAAGCAATCTGAACTACTTGTCTTCTAATAAAAATGATCTGAGTGTAATGTTGTATATTGCCCATCCTCGATTTATGTGGAAAAACAAGAAACTAACTTTGAGAACTGAAGTGGGTATACCCTTGGACTTATGGGTTTACATTTTTTAATTTCGATCATAATTAATCTCAATTTGGAAAACTTTTCTGTGTTGGCTTTTATTAGGATATTTTTTCAAAAAATTTAGATTGATTCCGCTGTTGATGCTGATCAAGAATATATATGAATTATAGGGTCGGAAATAAATCATTCACTAATTTGCAAGCTTCAGACTGAAATTATAATACCCTTTAAGGGTATTCAGATAGAGATTAAGATAGAGAAATAGAGATAGAGATAGATATAGAGATTGATAGAGATATATAGAGATAGATAGAGATAGTTAGAGATAGATAGAGATAATAGATAGATAGAGATAGATAGAGAGAGGTAGATGGATAGAGATAGATAGAGAGAGGTCGATGGATAGAGATAGATAGAGAGAGGTAGATGGATAGAGAGATACATAAAGATAAATAGGTAGAGATAGATAGAGAGAGATAGATAGATAGATAGCGAGATAGAGAGATAGATAGAGAGATGAGAGATAGATTGAGAGATAGATAAAGAGATATATAGATAGAGATAGATATACAGATAGATAGAGAGATAGAAAGATAGATAAAGAGATAGATAGAGATATCTCTAGATAGATAGATGAGATTAAGATTGAGATAGAGAAAGAGGAACAGGGAGAGAGAGGCATTCATTAGCAACTATTATTATGTGCTTCAAAAACACTAAGTTGCACTTTAAAGTTAAAAATTTCAACTTTATTCTTACCGTATGTAGAATTTAACGATTTCGTTTTCTTTTAATTCACAGATACTCTATACGGAAAATAATGAGAATCATGAAGATAGCCATTCGGCAGACCGCGAGGTCACCACGACTTTCAATCCAGAGGCACAATGCTTCAGACCCATCGATGCGGTCAATACAACCATGAATAATCTGAGCTTAAGCCCCAAGGCTTTGCCACTGGCATTACCCTTGGCACTGCCCCAGACGGGCTCATCGCCCCATTCGGCCGCCTCCAGCTCACCCACCTACAAGGGTAGCCCCAATCCCACGATCTCCGGCAGCTGCAGCACTGGCTCTGGTTCTGGCTCTGGCAATGGTACCGGTTCCAGTACCGGATCCGGTTCCGTATCCGGATCGGCGATGTGCACGGGTTCTGGTCCTGTGGTTGGCACCACTGCCGTAACCAGTACCGCCGCTGCGGCCTTTACCCAACGCGCTGCCCAGGCGCCGCTCACCTTTACCACGGCTACCTTTGCGCAGACCAAGTTCGGCAGCACCAAGCTGAAGACCAGCTCCAAGCGCACCAATAGGTCGGTTCTGAGTTCCCTTGATTGTTCTTACTATTTCTCTAAATATGTTTTTGTGCCTTCCCAGCAGTGCCTACCGGATGTCGCCCACTGAGTTCTCCAATTACATTAAACAGCGTGCCATACAACAGCAACTGCATCATGGCCATGGCGTAATACCGTCCGCAGGCTCAGTGTCCGCCTATGGTGCACTGGATGCCGTATCCCCGGCCCGCTCTCTCTCACCGAATCCCTTGTATTTGGGCAGTGGCACTGGGTCAACTGGTGGTGGCAGTGGTGCCAGCGGCGGCAATGATTCCTCCTTCTATTACCCCAACATGACGGTGGGCCTGTATCCGCAGTTTAGCAATTCGCGCAGCCTCTTTGATTCACACTTCAATACGGACTCTAGCCTGGGTCTCTTTGGCAGCGCCGGTGGCTCTGTGGGCGGTGGCGGTGTTAACAACAATTACAGTACTTACCTGGAGCCATGCTATTTCCCCAACAGCCATGGCAGTATCCCGCCGTTCTGCCAGCTGCATCTGTCCAATGGCAGTGGCTCGGGCATGGAGCGTGCCAATAGCAGTGATAGTTGCTTTGGCCTGGACATGGATTGCGGCTTGGTTGGTGGTGTAAATGTGAATGTAAATGTGAATCTGGATGAAGGAGGAGCCACTGCAGTGGCCGTGGCCATTGCCGGGGACTCATCATCCGACAATAGTCCCGTGGGTACACCTACAATGAATGTAGGCACGAATACAACTAGCTCTTTGATTGGCGGTCTGCAACAACAGCAGGAGGAGGAGGAGGAGGAGCAGCAGCAGCAGCTGCAACAGCAACAGCAACAGCAGCAACAACAGCAGCAGCAACAACAGCAGCAGCAACAGCAACTGCAGCAACAACAGCAGCAGCAACAGCAACAGCAGCAACAACAGCAGCAGCAACAGCAGCAACAGCAACAGCAACAGCAGCAACAGCAGCAACAGCAGCAGCAGCAACAACAACAACAACAGCAGCAGCAGCAGCAGCAACAACAGCAGCAGCAGCAACAGCAGCAGCAGCAGCAGCAACAGCAGCAGCAGCAACAGCAGCAGCAGCAGCAGCAACAACAACAGCAGCAGCAGCAGCAGCATCAGCAACAGCAGGCTCAAGAAGCCTCTACGGGCAAGCTGATAGACGGCATCAACTCTTTCTATGGTGCCGGGTCATCCTATCAGCAACTTCTGGTTGCCAACTAGAGTTTGGCCCTGCAGATAACAACAACAAATGACACCTAAACACAACCAGGATAGCCACAGACAACAAGGGGGAGAGTCCTGAGAATCTAAGTACCCACAGAATTAGCCGAACCGAACTGAATGTCATCGCTACTTAAGTACTTGAGCAGATATGTTTTTATTTTCTTTTATTTTTCTGTCGTGGCCCTTGATGCCGACTGAATTTGTTACCAACGTTTTGAGATTTTCGTTTTCTTTTTACCTTTGCGAATGTAAGAGAGATAGAGAGAGATAGATAGATAGAGAGAGAGAGAGAGAGAGAGAGAGAAACAGAGAAAGAGAGAAAGAGAGAGTCCCTCGTTTGACGAGGGGCCAACAGAGATCGTTGTACGCCATCCCCATATAGATAAAACGGATAGTTCGAAAATGGAACAAGCCATCCTTTGAGGAACGATACGATGTGACAGATACAAATACCACAGCGACACCTCTCTTAAAAACACACCCAAAAAATACAACACACTCACTTGGCAGTTTAAGAGCTGAGTTTTTGGGAATGTGCGTGGATGCCCCACAGCCGGCCCTCAGTAAATAATATTTATTTTGTTATTAAATTCTGCACAGTCGAAAGTGATGTTTCTTTCTGTTAACACACACACACACACACACACACACACACACCACACATACACAGACACTAACACACACCGGATGTACATATGGAAATGTAGGTCTAGGCCAACAAAAGCAAAAGCAAAAAAACCAATAATAGGCAACCAGAAAATAAACAAAAAAAAACCATAATATATTATATATATATATTATAGTTTATATTATTTTACTATATATATATATCATAATATATATATATATATAAATATATATATATAGAAAGAAGTCAACTAGAATTTCTCAACTAATTGTTTTTACTTGTTATGCATATATACATATATTTATATACACATATAACTATTATTAATTATCCAACTTTGGATCAACTTTCGACATTAAGTTTTTAATTAGTTTGTAAACGTTTACTATAAGATCATTTTTTATATCAAGACAAAACCTAAGAGAGTAAAAAACATTGTTGAATATATAGAAAGCGAAAAAAGAACCTTTAAAAAAAAAACAAAACAAAAATTATTAACAAAACAAAAGACAACTTGCATACCCTTGTTCAGCGCCAGAACATCCAAGAACATCCAGCTGACCCAAAGTGTCTGACAATGCCATTTGTAGGGGAACCCCCATATATCATCATAAATACTTCAAAAAAATTCATATTGATTTGCTCGCATTTTGTTTTTGTGGATGATACCCGACTGTGATCCCATCATCTATATATATGTGACAGGAAAAGGATTTTCTAGTCCTCGTGGGATCCCCCTTTTCAATGTTTTTCTTTTGCTCTTTTGCTTACCCCTAGAAGAGGCCAGGTTATGCAAGCTTCAAAAATGAGATAACACAAGTGAAGGAAAAACCACAGAAACAAAAACAGAAGAAAATCAAGAAATCAACAACAACAAAATAAGAATAAAAAAAACAAACAAAACTAAACTTTCTTTGTGTGTTATATTGTATGTATTAACTATATATTTGACTTCGTACTTTTTTTTTATATGTATGTATATCTATTTTTATATGAACATTTGTAATTTTTATAAACCAACTAAAGTAAAAAAAAAAACAAAAACAATTTTATACTTTTTATATGGGCTTACGTGAAAATACCTTGTGCTGTATGAACGTTTACTTTAATGTAAAAACAAAAAAAAAAAAACAATGAGAGAAAAACAAAAGAGCATTTTATTTAACTTGTTCGAAACTTCGTTACCCTCCTTTTCCCAAAAAAAAAAAAAAATAATAAATTACTAAACTAATTAATGTAAATAATGCACTGCATCTACATATATAAATATATATATATATTAATTTTTGTCAAGTTCCCCGATCCTATCCCGAATTTAAATGCAAAAGCACACCCCTCATAAAATATCGTTTAATATGGAAATATATTATATATTAAATTTACACCTAAGACTACACAAGGAAACAGAAGTTTGAGAGTTAAAAAACAGTTGGCAAGACAAGTGAATTTCCTCTAAATGTACTATATTGTATGAATATGTATCTTGTTAAGTAGCATTTGTAATTTATGCAGGTGTTTGTTTATTATTTTATTTTGTACATTTTGTTAAAGCCAAGGAAAAACTTAGAGATGACATGGCATGAATGGATAGAGAATGGAAATGGATTTTAAGTATTTTGAACAAATGTATTCGAATATGTACCTACACACATCCCATCATAAGATGTGTGTTTATCTGAAACTCACCACTGAAAACGGAAATTTAATGAAACATTTAAGTACCTTAACGAAGCTTCTAAACTATATAGCTACTGTGAGTCCCGGATCAAGTCAAGCCAACAAAAAAGAAAGAAATGCTATTTCGTTGTTTTTAAAATCCAAAACCTCCTTTTGTCCGACACGAGGGGCTTGCAAATTGCCAATTTGTCAATTTGTTAATTAGCTAATTAGCTAACTGTGCAAATTGGGGCATTTTGTGGCTAGCTTTTGTATTCTGAGATCATGGTAGCACATAAGTACCTACACTTCACACACAAACACATAGTACACCCTTTCCCCCACCAAAGACTTTATAACATAATAAGATGCATAGTGCCCATAGCAATACCTAAAATATGGCGTTTTGCATTTTATTATTAGATTGCCTTTGCCCCCAAAAGAACACATTTAACACACATAACACCACCACACACACACAAATGGAATGCGGGCACTTTTTTTTAGATATTATATTAGAGAATATTTAAATAACCAAAAGCAAAAAAAACAAGGAATAACAAATTTTGTACTTTATATATATGGTGAATATGTATATATATATTTAGATATATATATATATATATGCATATACATATATATATATATATGTATATATATATACATATGTATATATATTCGTTAACACATATGAATGTCTCCAATGGGTTCAACTCAGCTTCAGCTCAACAAAACGAACTCTCAATGTGGTTTTGTATTGTATATGTCTCTGAAATCTGAATGGTAGCGAACAGCAAAACTAATCGTATAATGTTTAGATAATGAAAATAAGACAGAGCAATAAGGCACAAGTATAAGACCCTCCTTCCTCGCATGTGTCCTCTCTACCAACCTACATATAATTATATATATATACATATATATATATATATACTAGTATTTACCTGAATTGTAGATGGAAGCGGACAGAGAGAGCTCTGAGAAAAACCCAATGGCTTGCTTAGAAAAACTTTTCTATTGTGATTGTGATACCAATGTAAGGCACAGAAAATGAAAATGAAACAGAAACGGAAACGGAAACGGCAATAGATTCATTTAATATCTATACATAAAATATGTACAGTACCGTTGTTGGAAAGTTAAAGAAAATAAGAATCAAGAATCCGCCTGTCATCGATGTCCACCAAACTTACATTTAGACGCGGTCGCGATGAAATTGTATCCGACCGATCTTAAGAACAATAGGAACCTTTAATGGTAGATACAGAAAAATATACAAAAAACATATATTTTACAATATGGAAGTAAAAAGCCACACTCAAGCCCACATTCTGATACACACTGATATTGATAAATGATTAATGATTAATGATTAATGATAACGATAGATTTAGATACAAGATTCAAGACAAGATCCGATTTAGTAAACAAAATCTCACTAACTAAGCGTGCGCGTATTTTAGGTACAAGATCCACGACAACCATTAATGGAAATAATACTAAACTGCTTTTTATACCTCAGATATGTTTCTATATATGTATGTATCTATATGTACGAAGAGATATCTCCAAACACACACCACACACAATGCAATGTAATCGAAGTAAGAGGATAACTAAATTCAACTCAGCATGCCCTAAACTTGTCGTCGTCTTAAGGTCCTTAAATACCGATATTTTGATAGGTAGCTAGAGATGACAAATTCATTTATGAATGTGTAACTTTTATATATTTTTAGGAAACTTGTTCAATTGATACGCTTTTTCCAAACATAAAAATCTAAATGTGCATTATCGAAAAAAAAAACAAAACAAAAAGAAAACCAAAACAAAAAAAAAAAACGAGAAAAACAGAAAATAATACACCACCAGAACTCGTGAGTGTCTCGGATTGTTAAATAGTTTCTTCCGGGACTCTCTCCAACTTGGGTAGAACTTTGGCGATCTACGATCTATGACAAATTAAGCTCAATATATATATACCCATATATATCATAGCTGTATTCCGTATCATAATTGTATATTCTTTTTACGGAATAGAATCGAATTGTAAGATGGGCAATATACATAGATAGAGATACCAGATACTTTCTCATGCGTATCTGATGGATTCGTATGCCCAAGTGACGCCAATAATGGACATGGAAATGTATTGTGATTTGAGTTCTAAACAGTTATCTGTGTGTATGTTTCTTCTGTTATGGGTGTGTGTACATAGGAACAACAAGTTCAATATATACATACATATATATATATTCAACTGGAAAAATGTACATGTTTTGTATCGATAATTACATATATAATTTAACTTCAACTTCAATAAGTTATGGTACTGATTGCTACATAGCGTTCGTTAACTGACAAAACAATGCAGCAGAAAGCAGAAAGCAAATTAATTAAATTAATGCATATCAGTGATCACAATAATGATGATGTACATAAATTGTAAGCAATTGGGGCATTCTGAGCCATCTTAACAGCTGCGGCAGGTGCAAACATTGGTGGCCCTTGCAACATGAAGACTCAATCTTCTGGTCACAAAACGAATTTTTAAACCAAAATTTGCTCACACAACACAACATAAGTAAGTTCTTTTAAGATTGCTTTTATATTTCAAATTTCCTGGAGTTGGTAGGCCTATAATAAAGAATGATTAAGGACTTTATTAGGCAACCAATAGTGTTGCAAGGACTTCTGTTCTATATTCTATCACTTTATGTTGCAAAAACATTTGCCACATCTGCTAAGAGCTATTGAATGGCCTACAAAAAAACAACAAATAAAATAAATTAATTAAAATAAAAGTGTATGTGCCAGCAGCGACACACAGACACACACACATCCCAAGAAATGTACGTACATACATATATATCTATTCATAGTACCGAGAAAAAACTATTCATTCAATTCAAAACCCTTTAAGTGTGTACATAAGCCTAGCGGTAAATAATATGACATGTATGTATTATGTATAGTAAAAAATATAACTTCCATATTGAGTATTTTTCATATTACCTTTAATAGAATAAAGATTATCGTATTATTCAAAAATATTTTACAACAACTATTTAGCATCAACAACAATTTACAAAAGAAAAAGACATACATTGATTAACCGCCGAATTTGAATTTAAATTTTAGTGCGCCATCAGTAACCGCCATTTGAGTTATCCGACAAATTTGAATTTGAATTTAAATAGTCGATCAGTTTCCGCCACGTAAGTAAATCGATAAATTTAAATTAAAATTTAACAACTTTTAACAACAATAACAATTTACAACAAGAAAAGACAAAAAGTATGTTAATTTACCTGGCAAATTTGAATTCAAACAGACTATCGGTACCCGCCCTTTTAGTTAATTTGAATTTAAATTGTCGATCAATTGCCGCCAAGTAAATCGATAAATTTGAATTCAAATTGAAAAGGCCGATGAAAATCCGCAAGCAAACCGAAATTAGTTATGTTGTAGTTAGATGTACAACTATAATCTCACAACGCCCGCCAAATTTGAATTCAAATTCAAATAGACTTTTAGTACCCGCCCTATCAGTTAATCAACTAATTTAAATTTGGAATTTAAGTAGATCAGTTGCCGCCAACCTGTTGTTCATAATAAGTTGTTTTTGTTGTTGTTGTTTTTGTTGTTGTTGTTGTTGTTGTCTTAAATTTACAAAAACAAAAGACGGAAAATATAATAATTGAACCGCCAAATTTGAATTCAAATTCAAATAAATTATCAGTACCCGCCCTATTAGTTAAACGAAAAATTTGAATTTGAATTTGAATTTAAATAGTCGATCAGTTGCCGCCACGTTGGTAAATCGATAAGTTTCGATGACGATAAAAGCCCAAAATAAAAGATAATCAGTGAAAAACGACCTGGTCACAATACAAAAAATTTGCATATATTACAATGAATTGGCAAAAAATTAAATTTGCTTGCTGCTGCTTTCTGTTCGCCTGGTATTTCAGGTCGAAAATTAAGAAATTGCCACGGGAATCGATGCCTTATTCTCTCAGTAGAGCAATTTAGCTTAACCGCCAAATTCGAATTTAAATTGACCGCCAACGATGAATTAATCGATAAGTCACGCACTGAAAGCTTACAATATGGTCTTACTGCCCAAAAGTTACAATATGGTCAGACTGGCGAAAACTGCAAAATTCAAATTTAAATTTAAATTGTCCGCCAACGATAAATTAATCGATAAATCAGTCAACCGAAAGTTCACAATATGGTCACACTGGTCAAAAGTTACAATATGGTCACACTGGCAAAAGTGTGCAAAATTCAAATTTGAATTTAAATTAACCGCCACCGATAAATTAATCGATAAACCGCGCAATCCAAAAATTTCAATATGGACACACTGGCCAACAATTCTAGGGTGTGGTGACACTGGCAAGTAGTTTATATTTTTGTAATTGCATACTTTTGGGGGTGGTGTAGCATACTTTTGGGGCGTAAAATGAATTTGCCAAAAATTAAATTTGCTTGCTGCTGATTTCTGTTCGCCTGGTATTTCAGGTCGAATTTTAAGTGACGCCGAGCACATCGAAGGCTTGGTTTTGCAACACACAACCGCACGATTTCACAGTATGTACAACACACAACCGCACGATTTACACAGTATGTACAACAACAACAACATCAATTACAACAACAACAAAAATTACAACAACAACAACAACAAAAATTACAACAACAACAACAAAAATTACAACAACAACAACAACAAAAATTACAACAACAACAACAACAATTACAACAACAACAACAACAACAGCAAAAATTACAACAACAACAACAACAAAAACAAATTTGATTTTTAATACAAATTGTCATTTAGCACCCAATCGATTAAATTAAACAGCAGATATTATTTATTTTTTAAAACGTTTTATTAAAATTTCTTTTCGCTTGGGGTTCGGCTGCACAAAAAAATATATGTTGCATTTATTTTATAGTAAACGCCCATGTGTGTGTGTGTGTGTGTGTGTTAACGCTAAATGTAGCTCCTTAGGTAATCGGTAAAATGTTAGTTTCCTTTGTTGGTTGGTTTGTCTTTTCCCAATCGGTTTGTGGATGGCTCCTGTGAAAGCAATTGCAATATTTATAGATTGCGGCTTACGGGCTTCGAGATACGAATTGCCAGTTACGGGTTACGAGTATCATCGCTGTGTCCAGGTAAGGTACTGCTTACAACTTACAACTATTAAACATTACTTTCGTTATTGGCAGCGACCTGCTTGGCTCCCGATCCGCTGCCAGATCCCCCGGCTGCTACTCGGGCACGGGTAAATTTGCTAATGGACGTGGGCGATGCCGAGGCAGCAGCAGCAGCGGCAGCTGCATCCAACCGGAGACTATTCCCGGCCGGATAGACGCAACCTTTGCGCCGTCGTCCCGCCGGAGAACCGGCAGCTCTATCACCGATTTGTACTAGGCTGGACAGATCATCGCTGCGCGAGAAGACAAACTCCTCCGAGGAGAGGCGCTTCCGCACCCTTCCACCGACCACATCCGGTTTCTTGCCATTGCTAAGCGGCGAGGGCGAGGCGGGTGCCACCAGCGCCGGAGTCTCTATGCCATTGCCACCGCCCAGGACGGGGAAGTGGGATTCCAGGACGCCGGGTCGCATGAGAATCTCCTCCAGGTGTGGACCGCCATTCTGACGAGCCGGCGTTGCAAACTGCTCCAGTGATGAGCTGGCACTATAGAAACTCGTGTCCGCGGAGCCCTCGGAACCGCATTTGGCATGCTCCGAGCGAGTGCAGCAGCCGCGCTGGGCATCCCGGCCGCAGGGACAATGGGGACACAGTCGCAGGCAGTGCTCTTCCGTCAGGATGTCGCTGTCGCTGAAGGTTAGCTTCTTCACCGGTGGCGCTGGCCTCGCTGGCACATGATCCTGATCCCCATCCAGGGGATCGGCCGATTTGGAACTCTGCACCGCATTGGCAGCATGGGGCAGCTTCAGCCTCTGCAGGCTGTGGGCCGAGGCTGACTCGAAGCTGTCGTCACTGGAGTCCAGGCTGTGCGCCGCCGGCGACTGATCCGGGAAGATGCGCGGAAAGGTGACAAAGACCCGACCCAGTCGCTTGTATTGATCCTGGGTCCTGCTATCCTCCGCACAGCCAGCCAGATTCTCGGTGAACTTGGGCGCTCTCCGCATGACCTTGGGCGTATGCAGCTGCGACTCAAAAATGTCCTCCAGCGGCACCTTGGGCCCGGCCACGCCCATGTGCTGCAGATACCGCTCGATGCTGTTGGCCAGGCTGATGGGGACGCTGGTGCGCGAGGAGACGCTGGAGATCTCGGACAGAGTCTCGGGGCTGGCCAGTGGTGCCAGGCCGTACCAGTCATCATGCAATAGGTCCACGCCCTGCGGCACTGCACCGCCGGCATCCGAGGCTCTCCGCAGGGCCTGCACCTGGGCCAATGGCAGCGATCTGGGTTTCTTCTCGGAATGCTGTCGTTCCAGCAGGGATCTCTCTGGCAGCGACGGCGGTGGGGTCAGGGCCATGTCAAAGGCCACCGCCTTGAGGCGAGGAATTGCCACCTCCTCCGGAAACGGTTCGGCATTTCCAATGACCGTCCCCGTCGTCTCTGAGCTCATCAGCGATGGACTCTGGCGCAGGGCCACCGTGGCCAGGCTGTCGTCCAGGGCGCTTGATATGTCGTACGGCGTGGTGGCCGAGCTGAGCTGGCTGCGTCCAAAAATGCTGCCCGCCAGTGAGGATGCCTTGCTACCACCACAGCCGGTGGCCGAGCAGAGGCGCTGTGGCTGCAATGGCGGCGCTGAGCCATTGGTGAAGGACGTCTCCAGGCAGAGTTTGTGCTGCGCCGTCGGCGTCAGGGCGAGGCAGTTGCTCAGATTTGTGTAGGAACTTTGCGAGGGCCGCTTGCAGTGCTGCGATTGCGCTGACGTTTGCATCTGGCCGGAGTCCGTGTCCGTTTCTGGTCCGGATCGGCGCATCGGATCCGTTGTCCCATAACCGCTGCAATGCGGCTGCGGTTTCTGGTCCTGATCCTGATCCTGCCCTTCATTCGATGCTGTGGAGAATGCATTCGAGGTCTGACGCTGGGGCTTGCGTGGCCCACTCGTTGTTACAACCTAAGGGGAAATGGTGAGAGGGAAAAGTATCAGTGTTTGCATGGTATGAGTTCTAAGCCTAGATAAAGGTCTACATTGTAGTCCTACTAGAATTTGTTTAAAGACTGATTGATTGATTCTTTTCGTTCATACTTGATCTTTTTTAATTACAATTACAAACTAGTTGTAAATAGATTCGATTTTTTTTTGTGGCAAATATAAACGCAAAGTTTGGCTTAATGAATTCAAGTCAAGAAACCGATCAATCAAATCAATCGTGATTTATACAGCTCGTAGTTAGTTACATATGAATGCAGAAAGAGACGAGTAGATGTTGCGAGCGAGAGAGTGGGATGCATGTATGTACAGCAGTGTGACAGATGAGCGAGAGAGAGAGGAAAGAGACAGATGCAGATAGCGAGTGACTAAGTACAGTTGCGTCAAGGTGAAGCGAGTGGGGGTAGTACAGTACAGATTTATTGCTCATGACTCGACAATTAAATAGTTCGATAGGTCGCTGTGGTGGAGGTGTAGTTTGGTTAGTTGGATAGGAGCTTACAGGTGCAAGACACAATATCGAGATTGGTTTTCGTTGTACATATACAGCGAGTACGATTACATTTAGAGAGTTTACAAAATTGTTGGGTTGTTTGTTTGTTTTTTTTGTTTGAGGTTGGGTTAAGAGCGGGAGAGAGAAATATACATAGAGAGAGGTAGAGAGAGAGAGAGAGAGAGACTTGTAATTCGGTTGACATATTTAAGAAATAAGTTTGGTTTTAACGAGAGCAAAATGGAAAGTTGCTTTTAGTCGTTGGTTTAATGATTACATTTTTTTGTTTTGTTTTTCTTAAATAGAATTACGCTGGCGGCTGTACCTGGTATCTGTATCTTGTGTTGTCGTAGTTGTTGTAGTTGTAACTGTTGTAGTTGTAGTTATTGTCGTGTTATCATTACGTCTACGAGTGGTACATGCCTTTGCGGTTCGATCTCTACAAGACACGACCTGCGCACATCATCGGATGGTCGGATTATCGGATGATCGGGTCACATACAAATCGGTAATTGGTAAAAATGGTAATCGGTTATCGATAATCGGTATTTTTCACATACGCATATCGTCGAAAAGAAGCAAAACGAAAGCATAAATAAGTTGATAAGTGATTTCACAAGTTATTTGATCTAAATCGGAGAAATGTATCTCTTGGGGGCGGGTTGAATCGGTCTGAATATTGATTTTAGGAAGTGTGGGGGTCACGGGGTCATCCTGTAGCCTGCCTGACCACTACTCTCTCACTGCAACTACATAGCTCACGGCGAAGGGCAAGTCTTCATCCCAGCTCAGCGGAAAGCGCAACTACTTCGTCTATCACATGATTTTAGCCATTCCAGAAGCTTTACAACAATTTATGTAACATCCATTCCCATGCAGCAGATATTTTTTTGTTTTTTTTTTGGGAGGAGGGGGAGATTCTGTGTAAATGTAAGTAATTGATTGTGTGTGTGTGATTAGGTATAATAAATCGAGGCTTAAATAAAAATTGAATTGAACAAACTTACCAAATGAAATCCGGATAAAGAACTCAATATGAAAATCATCATCAAAAGTTGTGTGTGCAATAATTTTGAAACCGATACGATGATACTCTTGCCAAACATATAACATTCGAGCATTGCTTCACATTTCGTCAAAATCAGTTCCATCTGCAGTACATTCTAGTGGGAAAGACAGGGCTTCGATAATGCTACTTACAAGAATTACAAATCTACTACAAGTCCTACACTTGCCCACCTCTGGGATGGTTACAAATCAAAATTAATAATTAGTTGTGGCTGTGTATATTCGTCATATAAAACAAACAGATTTAAGAGAAAAAAATGTATATAAATAAGAGATATAAGTATAGAGAGCGTAACGCGGAGATTAAATAAACGAAATGCAAATTACAATTCTTTCACTTAGACGATTATTGGGCAAGAATTAGTCTAGGACCTTATAATGACAAGATGCATAACGTTTATACATTAATATACATAGAAAAAAATATTTAAGAGAGCCTAGGTTTGCTTTCACGTATCATCTTGTTATTATAAAGCCACTGGTTTACTCTTAAGCGATATAAACATAAAATACAAGTACATAAATTAAACTTAGAGGTAATTGTAAACATTTAAAGTCCATTGTCAGTGCCTCACACAGCGATAAATACAAGATAAATATTACGATTAGTGTGTGGTGCTGGCTAAGTATCTGGGGTTCCTAACTCTAAACACACACTTGTCCCAAGGCAAGTATGTCTTGGATTTGGACAAAAAACAAAACAAAAAAAAACTAAAGCAAAACGGCAATAAATAAATACAATAAACAAATAAATGTCGCACAATTCAACAAATGCACTGAAACCATAAGGGAGTGTTGGCCTTAGACTAGATATAGCGTTAATCGTAATTGGCTTTACAAAAATATGTTGATAGATTGTGGCGCACAGGTGTGTGTAAGTGTTTGGTGTAACTGTTGGGGTTCGTAATGAGTTTGTGGTTGGTTGGTGGTTTTGTGGCTTGCGTGGCTTCGGTTCGGCGACCTACGGCCTTAAGGCTACACTAAGGGCAAGGTACAGTACGGTACAATTCAGACGAACCAACTAACTAGATCGGTGCTGCGTACTCTATATATATATATGTATATGCTAAGGGCTAGTTAGACTATATATACGGTTCTAGGACAACGACGAAGACGACGTGGTGTAAGGTGTCGGTATCGGTATCAGAATCGGTATCGCTATCCATTCCATTCCACTCCATTTCCAAGTCGGATTTGGTCCGATCAACTGGCTGTGGAATAGCTGTGCACCGAGGAGCTGCGATCGTCATCGACCTCCCCAATTACCTTCTTGAGGGCGGCAAGGACCTTGTCGGGCATATGATCCTGCAACATCACCGGCGAGATGAGCACTTCGTCAAAGTCTGTGGAATCGGCCCAGATGGCTTGGTAAACTGGCTCCCGGTTCTTTAGAACATTTCTGAAAAAATACACAAGATCTTTAATGAAATACAGTTTGTGGCAAGAGTTTACTAAAAATATATATAGCTATATAGCTATGTTGGTATCTACTATATAAGTAATAAATGTATTACGGAAATTCCTCCTAATTAAATTTGAAGGCCAAAAATCTTGAACAAACTACAAAGTTTATGTTTCTATTTACATTTATGAACTCTAAAAACAAAACATTAGTCATTTCTATATATTTATAATAAGAAATTTGCTTTTACAATGTAGATTTTAAATGTTTATTTGGGGTTTAGCATAACATTTAAATAATTAACAAATAAACCCAAACGATTAAATGTATTTTAAAGATCTTAAGAGCTCAAATCGAGTTCTTAACTATTTCTCTAAAAGGCTATTATAATGGAAATTTAATTATTCGTATGATAGGAATCTTGAATCTTCAAATCTTGATTTTTAGAATCTGAAGGGATTTCCGTTACACTTTTCTATATAATTTAAAGAAGTTTTTAGGCAATATTTTAAAGGGCCTGAGTTCATGCGGGGACTGTTAATCATGAAAAATAGCTAATACTCTAACGAGAGCTGGACAGGGCGACAGCGAGAGAAAGACAACAAGAACGAGAAGGAGGAGACGAGTCTGATAAAGAAATGGGCGAGACATGCAGCCGGTGGTACTTTCTCATGCAACAAAGACTTACAAAACAGAAAAATAAGAAAATGAAAAGGAAATTCGATGTAAGGAGGTTCTCTAAAACTCAGAGATTGTCACTAGTTTATCACACACAAACCAAACAAGCTACTATTGTGTTTATGCGAAGCCGAATTCATGTATTTATGTATTTCTTCTAGTTTATGAATTGGGGGAAATGAGAGTCCTTAAATATAATTTCATGTAATTAAGTTTATTATTAAATTAGGTGGCAAATAAAGCTAAAATTGATATGGTATTACTCAGATTCTCTTGGTGTTATATTATAAAAAAGGTCTAATATAATTTATAAGTTTCCATTTGATTTGTTTACCAATAAGCAATAAGTTTATTATTACATAAACTGCCATCTTTTTTTTTTTAAATATAAATTCATGAATTCGTGGGCTTCGCATAAACAGGGGGGCTAAGCAGATTTCATGTATTCGAGAATTCATGAAATGCATAACAAGGTAAACGACACGTAGAAAGTATGCAAAAGAAAGGGAGTGTAAGTTAGAGAGCGAGCACGAGCATGGGCAAGAGAAAGAAAGAGAGAGTAGTGGGAGAGAGAGAGAGAGAGACAGAAGAGATAGAGATAGAGATCGAGTTGAGTTATTGCAGCGCCGCTCAAGCTCTTCTTCCCATCTGGTTTTTTTTTTTTTTTTTTTTTTTTTTTAATGCGTTTGCGTGCTCGTATCTGTGTGTAGATGCGGGTGCAGGTGTATGTGTCGTTGTGTGTTTGTGTGTGCCTACCTCCAACCACTGTCGTATTTTTGCCTGCAAAACATTTTCAAAATTAATTTCTTTTCTCTAATTTCAAGCAGCGTATTCATGCCCCAAAAAGTGCACATCAAATTAAATTTTTTTTTTTTAAGAATTTCTAAACTTTAAATGACAATTCAATTGGTTGTTTGAAATATTTTCTAATTAGAAATCTATGAAAAATATTGCTCAATTCAAAATACCGTAAAGTTTGACATATGGAAATTTGAAATATAAAAAAATATATATATAATATATTTTTGTGTTAACCTCTATAATTCAATTTATAATTCTATAATTTAGCAACATTATTTTAAACTATAAATCTTATAAAATATTGATCATCAGTTTTCCCCTCACAAATAGATACAGCATTAATCTAAAGATATTTTCAGAAATTCCTGGTAAAAAGTACTACACTCCAGAAATGATATCTTTTTGCAGCTTTTTTTTGGGACATGAACACGTAGCCTTTTTTTAATGAATAAATCAGGACTTTGGGACTTGGGACTGTGGCAAACAGAATTGGTACCGTGGAAATAAAAAAGGTTCGAAGCCAAAAACATAAACACAACGAAACAACACAAAACCGAACGAAAGCAGAAGCAAGCAACATGTGAGCGCTTCCCCTAATTAATTCACAGCTTATGAAGTGATACCCTGTAATTTTAATATATCTTCAGTACGAGCAAAATTGCTAAAAAAAAAAAAAAAAAACAACAACAAAGAACCTTAAATTAATGACCGAAATAGTAGTCCTAATAAGTTATTGTTGCCAATCGAATACAGTTCAAATGTAGTTCCCAACGTTATCTATTATATTAGGGACATGGATTGATTATAATACACGGTTGTATCTTATTTGTTGCGATTTAATTTATTTTATATTTGTATTTCTTCACCCTTAACTATACGTATTTGTTTTATGTTTAACTGAAATTAGACTACCTGTCCTCGTAATTATAAACTATATATTTAAATAATTGCAGGGTGTTATTATTTCAGTAAGGAACTTGTAAAGCGGATAAGCACTCATTTCCGACCCTATATTTTATATATTAATAGGCGAATCTTTCTGGCCATCTCAGGAAGCAAAACAAGCTTTTCCAATTTTTTCAAAAAAATTAAAGGGTTACATCGTTAAAATTGTGAAAAATCTAACAAATATTTGGATTTCTCAAAACTTTTAAATTAGTATGCAGATTTGTTAAGCGCCAAACAACTAACACAGCAGCGGTTTCTGAATTGAAATTGATGCATTTTTGACAAAGTTATGCGATTTTTTAAACTTTGACTGTCCCAAAAAATACTACAAAATTATTAAGCAAAAATTTCGATTTCAAGAATCCAGCAGAGGGAACTATAATTTTAATCAGTGAAGGAGCCATTTCCGACCCTATAAATCATATATATTCTTGATCAGCATTAACAGGCGACTCTTTCTGGCCATCTCAGGAAGCAAACCAAGCTTTTCCAATTTTTCAGAAAAATTAAAGGGGTTACATCGTTAAAATTGTGAAAAATCTAAAAAATATTTGGATTTCTTAAAACTTTAAAGCTAGTATGCAGATTTGTTAAGCGCCAAACAACTAACACAGCAGCGGTTTCTGAATTGAAATTGATGCATTTTTGCCAGAGTTATGCGATTTTTAAACTTTGACTGTCCCAAAAAATACTACAAAATTATTAAGCAAAAATTTCGATTTCAAGAATCCTGCAGAGGGAACTATAATTTTAATCAGTGAAGGAGCCATTTCCGACCCTATAAATCATATATATTCTTGATCAGCATTAACAGGCGACTCTTTCTGGCCATCTCAGGAAGCAAACCAAGCTTTTCCAATTTTTTCAGAAAAATTAAAGGGGTTACATCGTTAAAATTGTGAAAAATCTAAAAAATATTTGGATTTCTTAAAACTTTAAAGCTAGTATGCAGATTTGTTAAGCGCCAAACAACTAACACAGCAGCGGTTTCTGAATTGAAATTGATGCATTTTGCCAGAGTTATGCGATTTTTAAACTTTGACTGTCCCAAAAAATACTACAAAATTATTAAGCAAAAATTTCGATTTCAAGAATCCTGCAGAGGAAACTATAATTTTAATCAGTGAAGGAGCCATTTCCGACCCTATAAATCATATATATTCTTGATCAGCATTAACAGGCGAATCTTTCTGGCCATCTCAGGAAGCAAAACAAGCTTTTCCAATTTTTCAAAAAAATTAAAGGGGTTACATCGTTAAAATTGTGAAAAATCTAAAAAATATTTGGATTTCTCAAAACTTTAAATTAGTATGCAGATTTCTTAAGCGCCAAACAACTAACACAGCAGCGGTTTCTGAATTGAAATTGATGCATTTTTGACAAAGTTATGCGATTTTTTAACTTTGACTGTCCCAAAAAATACTACAAAATTATTAAGCAAAAATTTCGATTTCAAGAATCCTGCAGAGGGAACTATAATTTTAATCAGTGAAGGAGCCATTTCCGACCCTATAATCCATACATATTCTTGATCAGCATTAACAGGCGAATCTTTCTGGCCATCTCAGGAAGCAAAACAAGCTTTTCCAATTTTTCAAAAAAATTAAAGGGGTTACATCGTTAAAATTGTGAAAAATCTAAAAAATATTTGGATTTCTCAAAACTTTAAATTAGTATGCAGATTTGTTAAGCGCCAAACAACTAACACAGCAGCGGTTTCTGAATTGAAATTGATGCATTTTTGACAAAGTTATGCGATTTTTTAAACTTTGACTGTCCCAAAAAATACTACAAAATTATTAAGCAAAAATTTCGATTTCAAGAATCCTGCAGAGGGAACTATAATTTTAATCAGTGAAGGAGCCATTTCCGACCCTATAATCCATACATATTCTTGATCAGCATTAACAGGCGAATCTTTCTGGCCATCTCAGGAAGCAAAACAAGCTTTTCCAATTTTTTCAAAAAAATTAAAGGGGTTACATCGTTAAAATTGTGAAAAATCTAAAAAATATTTGGATTTCTTAAAACTTTAAAACTAGTATGCAGATTTGTTAAGCGCCAAACAACTAACACAGCAGCGGTTTCTGAATTGAAATTGATGCATTTTTGACAAAGTTATGCGATTTTTTTAACTTTGACTGTCCCAAAAAATACTACAAAATTATTAAGCAAAAATTTCGATTTCAAGAATCCAGCAGAGGGAACTATAATTTTAATCAGTGAAGGAGCCATTTCCGACCCTATAAATCATATATATTCTTGATCAGCATTAACAGGCGAATCTTTCTGGCCATCTCAGGAAGCAAAACAAGCTTTTCCAATTTTTCAAAAAAATTAAAGGGGTTACATCGTTAAAATTGTGAAAAATCTAAAAAATATTTGGATTTCTCAAAACTTTAAATTAGTATGCAGATTGTTAAGCGCCAAACAACTAACACAGCAGCGGTTTCTGAATTGAAATTGATGCATTTTTGACAAAGTTATGCGATTTTTTAAACTTTGA